CCCCCCCAGCATGCGAACTCCCCCCTCTCCCCCAGCATGCGACCCCCCCCGCATGCGACTCCCCCCCCACATGCGCCCCCTTTGTCCCTCAGGCATGCGACCCCCCTCCCCCCAGCATGCGACCCCCCAGCATGCGAGCACCCCCTCCTCCCCAGCATGCCGACCCCCCCCCCCCCCCCCCTAGTCACACGCCGTGCGGTCTTAATTCTAGCCAGTGTCGGCGGTAGAGACGCGCTCACATCCGGTTACCTGAGTACGCACGGGAAGCGGCGAGATAGCAGACGGACGAAGCCGTTCGCATATCTCATGAAAGGTTCCATTATAGTTCTTGTACAGTGTGAAAGTTTGTGACATTATCGGGGCGAATTTATGATCGTCACACGGAGCCGCTGATATTTCTGCTCTATTTTTATGTTCGGTGGCATTGATATGTGATATACGCAGAAACAGAACCCATTATAAAATTTGAAGCCAGCATAAAGGGCACAACTATATAAGCGAATATTGCACGCACGGTGTAATGAATGCTTTGTGATAATAACTGGGTCACGTGAGATAAAACGTCATCGACGATAACAAAAGAGACCGCATTGTACATGTTTCTAAATTGATTGAAAACAGCGATGCGATGCATCCCTCGCATTATTGACGGAATTCCAACACAGGTCAGAGACGTCTACAGCGAAACAGAATGCCTGCGCCAGATCGCCGTACGTCGGAATATGTCAAGCGCGGTATGCGTTCTGTAGCGTGGCCCTGTAACAGTTACATGACTGTGTGACCTGGCTGTAACACACGCCACACAGGCACCACACACACAACACACACACACACACACACACACACACACACACACACACACACACAACACACACACACACACACACACCACACACAAACACACAACACAACAACACACACACGACACACACAACAAACACACACACACACACACACACACACACACACACACGCCACACAGGCCCACACAACACACACCACACAACACACACACACACACAACACACACACACACACACACACACACACACACACATCCGTAACGTTAATCTATTAACGATTTCCGTATTTTTCGTGCACATATACTGGACATTGCCTTCCGCAGGCACAGCTGTATAGAGTGATGCGTATTGTGGCGACTCAAATTCGCCGGGTAGCTCTATGTGCGCATGCGCGTGTTGGCGAGCGACACATCACACAATAGTTGCAGGCCTCACTACGGCAGCTATCAGGTGCCGTAACGTTAATTACTATATTTACTGGTTCTTACCTGTCTAGATTAGCGTAAGCACCGCGTAAATCGGCGCGCCGCTCCGCGTGGCTAGGCGCTAGCCGTCGCCTGACCGAGCGTCGAGCAGCTGAGACTGCCCGCCGCCACGCTCTGTTAGACTGTCCGCGCACCTTCTCTCCGTCACCCCGCGCCTCCTGCTCACTCCGCCCCCGCTGTCCGGCCAGATCCATCCTGATAGACGATTGTACTTGAGGCGAGCTTCTAGTAGAGCTTCCGGATCGTTACGTAAGCGTCGGAGGAGTCTCGTTGTGGGTGCGCGTGGCGCCGCCCGGCGTGACTGGGTAGGCTGATGCACGCTGCTTCTAACACTGCGAAGCACTCTGGAATGCAAGCGAAGCGGCGATTGGAGCGCCGAGATATGCAATTCATACCTTTATGATCGTTGTGACCGGAGCAGTGGGAAAAGCATTGATTAGCACGCTTACTACCCTCCTAAGCGGGCGGTACGTGGTGTTGCGTGTATACGCGCGCCGCGCGCTGCCGTGTGTGTGTGTGTGTGTGTGTGTGGTGTGTGGCTGTGGGTGTGTGTGTGCTCGCTGTAGTGTGTGTTGTGTTGTACGTGCGTGGTGTAGCACGCCGTGTGTTGTGGCGCGGTGTGTGGTGTGTTGTGTGTTGTGTGTGTGTGAGGTGTGTGTGGTCGTGTTGTGTGTGTGTACGTGTCAGTACTAGAACCGCTGCGTGTGTGCCTGTCCAATCGGCGTGTGTCTGCGTGTGTGTGTCTGCGGGCGGCTGTGCGGTGTGTGTGCGTGTGTGTGTGTGTGTGTGAAGTGTGTGCCTGGTGTGGTGGTGTTGTGTGGTGTGTGTGTTGCTGTGTTGTGATGTGTGTGTGTGATGGTGCGTGCGTGCCACGTTGCGTTGCCATGCGTGCGTGAATAAGAGTGGTATTATTTGCTTGCTTCGGCATGCGATGCAATGGCGTGTACAATCTATGCCAACCAAATGCCTTCTATTAGTCGCATACACAAATACGAGCATTACGTGTACAGAGCTCGTGAGCAGCGCGGGTCGCAGCCTGCGGAGGCGTAACGTAGAAGTAGTTGGCAATTCCCACTTGTTCTCATTCACGTTCTCTCCCTCGCACCCTCTCTCTCTCTCTCTCTCTCTCTTCTCTCTCTCTTCTCCTCTCTCTCTCTCCTTCTCGTCTCTCCCTTCCCCTCTCCTCGCCTCCCCCTCTCTCTCTCCAGCGCTCACATATTTTTCCTTCCACGCGCAAAACGTTTAAATGCGTTTTTGGATCGACGCCTAAAATTGTCTCGTCAGCGTGCTCCGCGTGCGCCCGCCGCCAGCCGCCGCCGGTCGCTCGAATGCCCGCCCGCCGGCGCATTAAATTAGGCATACTTGCTGTTGTTATAGGTGCGGGCGGTCGTGTTGTCAGAAACACAGCGATGGTAGATAACTGTGACTAAACATCATTAGAATAGAATGTCGTAACCTATAATCATAAGCTGTCCGCGACATTTATCGTAGTTGCGACATCATAAATGCATTAATCTTAATCTTAGAATAGAATAATCTTTAATCCTAACTTTAATCCTTAATCTTTATCCTTAATCCTTAATCCTTAATCCTTAATCCTTAATCTTTATCCTTAATCCTTAATCTTTATCTTAATCCTTAACTTTTATCCTATCTTTAATCCTAATCTTTAATCCTAACAATGTAATTCTTCATGTCGTTGCTGAAAACGACAAACCCCAGAATTTACCGACGAAACGTCGTCCCGCGCGCATGCGCAGACAGTCCATGCAATTATGATCGAGCAGCGGATATGTCGTCGTCGGGGGCGTGCACGCAGTAACCGTGGCCGCGCGAACGCCACCGCCCCCTACCGGTTGTTTAATCGCGTCGACGCCTTTATCATATCTGCAGATTTTCAAGGACAGCGGAAGGAATTCGACTTTCACGAATCAGAGTTCGCGGGCGTCGGAGCGTGGCCGACAGACGACGACGACGACGACGACGGCGGCGGCAGCGGCGGCGAGGTGAACAGACACTACGACGACGGCTACCTATCGTCGGCAGCAGCAGCGGCGACGGGCGCGTGTAGCAAGCACGTACACCACCACCACCACCATCACCACCACAACGTGAACGACGCCGACGCACACGCCACCTGCCCCGTGCACGGATCGTCACGCCACCTGGAGGGCGCTAGCGAGGACGTCGACACGCGGGCGCACCACGCATGCGCGCTTCACGGCGCGGCGGCGACGTCGTCACACGCGCATGCGCCGTACGTCGGTTACGAGCTTCCTCCCCGCCAGCAGCAGCAGCAGCCACCGCGCAGTGCGCATGCGCGGCTGACGGTGAGTCTGTCGGACATTGAGGAGTTGGCGGAGAGCTCGGGCGTCGACGGTGACGACGTCGGCGGTCGTCTGGCGCGTCGGCAGCCGCGCCGCATACCGACGCCAGATTACTCTAGCTGCTCGAGTGTAGAGCGACTCTACAGACGCGCTAGAGACAACGTGTTCTCACGCAGCGACGCCCTGCACCGACACAACGCCACCTGCCGGCACCACCGACGACACCAGTCCGCCGGAAGCATGGCCGACCTCCCCGAAAGTGTCGACGACGCTGGTTTCGCGCATGCGTCGTTGCATTCGTGGTCGGCGCCCGACGTTACGCTGCGAGGGTCGTCGTCGTCGCCGCAAGACAGACACGCACGGGGGCGCTACGATCGCGGCGTAGTCGCTGGTGACGATATACACGCGCCATCTGGCGGCTTCGGGGAGCGTGTTGTGAACATGAAGGGTCTGTACGGAGTTCCGCGCGCATGCGCAGCCGACCAGGGCCGACAGAACTTGAGATACAACCCGTTGTTTGAGGAGGCGGGGCCGCAGCAGAGCTACGTGTACGGTGTACGGAGCCAGCCCGCATACGTGGCGCCCCTGCCGGCCGTGGCTGAAAACACTAGCCAGTATAACATACAGGTGTACACGATCAACAGTAATGTGTACAGCGTCGGTGCGGCGGGCAACAAGACCAACGACGGCAGCGCCACCGCACCCGTGAACGCAGTAAGCACCCGTCCTCCTCCACCTATCCGCTCCTCCTCCTTCTCCTCCACCTCCACATCCTCCTGCTTCTTCTCCACCTCCTCTTCCTCCTCCTCCTCCACCTCTTCCTGCTTCTCAGTAACGTGTAACTGTGTAATCCATTATCTTCCACTAGATAGCATGGCTTAATAGTTATGCTTGTGATATAAACGAACTCTTGTATGTTTCACATGTATTCTCTACCGTTCACTTATCGAATAAATAATTATGCAGTAACGTATGCGCGATTTTTCACGTACGTGTGTAGTAAATGTGATTTTATTAGATGGCAAGCTGCCATCCCTCCATTCAAATACTACCTCACAGTCGGATTAATTATAGATGACCTAATACCTAATAAACGTAACTTCTAACTTTATTACATATTCATAAGTTTCAATTAGAAAAACCAATACGCGTTATTCGTCGATGACCAGTAACGCCGACGTCACGTGCCCAACGAAATACGTTAGCATTTGAGCGCGGCGACAGTCTAGTTGTATTTAGTCTACAACCACATACATCCTATAATACACACGTACATTTCTAACGCACGATGCGCACGCTAACTTAGTATGTAGCGATCAGTGGGTGTGCGCGCACTCGTGTACGCGCGCACGCATGCGCACCTGTCTACAACATTGTTTTCTCGTTGCCAGGGGGCCGTTGCCGTGGAGATCGTTCCCAAGCATGCGCAGTACGGCGCTGGCCTGCTGCGCAAGCTGAGCGGGGAGGAGCGACGTAAGCGCATCTGCTACCTGGGTCTAGCTTTCGCCGCTCTCGTCGCCTGCCTGTCCGTCGGCATATGGATGGCCGTCTATTTCGATAGACACAGCAGCTCCTGATGATGATGATGATGATGATGATGATACCACTTTACCCACCCCCTCCGACCCACCCCCGAACTTTATACTGTCTCTTCAGCTTTCCCCCTTCTCTCTCTCTCTCTCTCTCTCTCTCTTTCTGGCTCTCTTCCTCAAGCTCTTTCTATCTTTCTTCCTTCCATTCTATGTCACACGCTATACTTCTCAGCTGTTCTTTACGCAACCAATGACTCTGTTGGCCAACTATACGCTCATAGACAAATGTGTTCATGTTAAAACATGCATCTCAGTTTTAGTAGCATACGTAGTATAGGTACATAGATATTGCTGTAATAGCATGATTGTATCATTGTAGCATGATTGTATCATTGCTCTTGTGTAAATGTAATACACTTATTTTCGAAAATAAAACAGACATGTTTATGAATATCATACAATTCAAGCTTCCGATTTTAGAAATAATTATCATGACTATAACAAACTTAAATTGCAATCTAGTAATAAACTACTTCTATGATCAAATTTCTATTTAGAATTTTAGCCATACTCATAAAATATGTCGTAAAAGAAATCTCCAATCTAAGAGCACACTATTATATGTAAATATATAATATATATAATAATATATATAATATATATAATATATTATATATTATTAATAGTAATATATATAATAATATATATATATATATAATATATTATATATTATTAATAGTAATATATATAATAATATATATATATATATAATATATTATATATTATTAATAGTAATATATATAATAATATATATATATATATAATATATTATATATTATTAATAGTAATATATATAATAATATATATATATATAATATATATTATATATATTATTAATAGTGGCTCAAACTGATTTATAAATTAAAATTAGATAGAGCAAAACTTCACACGCACTTACTGTCACATCATGTGCACGATAAATATGCCATGTTAAAATATCTCGTCAAATAAGACGCAGTAAGAAGTTTTTGATGTCGGGCTCATTTCTGCTAATAATCTAATTAATAATCACGTCTCAACGCCACCTGGTGGTTATTCACCTAAAATCATGTAGACAAAGCGCAACTCGCTCAAGTTATTTCAAATTCACAGATTAATTTAGCTGGAGCAGAAAAATTGAAAATTCTTGATTTTACAAGACGACAACATCAAAGTCTTTTAGCAATCTCGAATAACGAAGTCGGGCGTTTATGCAAAAGTTATTGAGAACTCTTCCAACTGGAAAGATAACAGATTAGGACCTACAGCTCATTTCTAACATCATATAGATTTAAAAGCAAATGTCGAAATTCCCTTTATAAATGTAAGAATCTTATATATTGATTGCAATACTTGAAATTTAAATACGTGTAAGTTTTGTTAATGATTACTATTTATAGATCTACATTAGAACGTTATCATTTTATCAAGAGCATATAAAGAAGCTTTCTTTATATGCTCTTGATTTTATCCTATAGCAAATCACAGCAAACAGCTTTTAGTGTATTGCGTACGATGTCATGTCACAGCCCCACCTGGTGCTGATTTTGGCCCAAAAAAAACATGTCATTCTCAACACTTCTAGTAAAAGTATTAATCTCAACTTCAAATAAGATTTTCCCACTAACTGCATATGTCTGAACAGTATTCAGCACCCCGTGATCTAACTAACATTCACAGCATATAAATAAATACTGATGTTGCACATATTATGATCATTCAACTGCATACGCCAATAACACCATACTATGTAAGACCAATCAAACTGCCTCGCACTAACAGATCTACAAACATACTGCATCAACCACAATTTATACGTAATCGTCAATGATGCGTCCACTGTTGACACAAGCGCCATAGTTACAAAGGCTAGAGTTAACAAGTGCCGCAGAGCGACAGAGAGATCAGACGTTCTGTGCTCCTCCCGCCGTGCGTCCCGTCCGCCGCGTGCCGCCGTGCGCTGAACAGTTGGGCACAAATCTAAACGGCTCACGTACGGTCACGAATCGGTGAGGACGTGGGGGTAATCCAAAACCAGTTGGGATTTTGAGCTGGGTCAAAGGGTCGTAAAAGTGCAAGATGGTGTAAGAATAGAAGGGGGAACATCGGCCCTCCTATAAACTAAGTTAGGTGAGGAAATGCAGAATTGCAGCAGTCAAATCTAAACGGCTGCGAACGTCATAGGCTCGTGAATTAGTCGGTGATAGCATCAGGTAGGAGAAAACCACACTGTGCCGAAAATTGGAGGTCACCAGTCAAAGGTCAATGGGGCACACGCGGGCAGATTTAGCATTTCTGAGGACATGGTCTGACGTACGATTCGAGAAAACATTTGTTGTGCAGTGGTGACTCTTATGCAGTTTTAGGCTCTAATGAAAGGACCATGAAAATGTACTTTCTGCTGAGCATATGCAAAAGACGTACGTGCGATAACCTTTGGACCTTCAGATGAGGTTAAACAGGATTTTTAGGGCCTAACTGTTAAGATAAGAATTTGAGCTGCCGGTTGGCTAGATAAGAATCTATACATGCCGTATGAAAGGCTATCAATGTCAGCAGTGAAATTTCAAAAAAGCTAAATTTCGGTTGAAGAAGTTATAGGCTTGCCCTAAAATCGTGAATAATTCTATGGCATTGCTGTACTGTCAAGATTGCGTTTATCATGTAACTTATTCCACTGCCTAAGTCATGTGGTGTTTGGATAGTAGGTGTAGTTTTTGCCTGCGTTAATTAGTTACAGGTGCAGCTTTCAAAGTTAAGCCTGTAGGCTGCCGTAGGTAAAAGTGGATTAGTTGCTTCTTACCTATTCTGTCTTGCAAATTAAGTTTGCTAATACTACATACGATGAGCTTCACTTAATCTAAAGCACATTCAAAACTAACACGCCCAAATCTCGTGCACTTTCATAACGATCCCAACAACATTCTCGAGAAGTGTGTACGTGATATCCTAATCCCAGTGTTCAAATAAATTGCTAGCCGTTTGTCGCGTAGCTTGCCATTTCCACGATGAAGAGGAGGGAAAGGGAGGACAAGTAGATTCGATAACAACAACATCTGTATAGACAGACAGTCGCGACAGCCTCGCCGGGCCAAGCACTACCGCCTACGAGAAAGGAGAAATGAGAGACGAGGGAGAGAGAGCGCGAGGGAAAAGTAATTGATGAGAGAGAAGAGAGAGAGCGTGCGAAGAGAGAGAAGAGAAGAGAGAGAGAGAGAGGAGAGAGGCAAGAGAGAGAGAGAGAGAGAGAGGAGATAGAGAGAGATAGACGAGAGCGCGAGAGAGAGAGAAAAGAGAGGAAGAGAGAGAGTGATAAGAGGGAGAGGACGAAGAGAGAGAGAGAGAGAGAGAGAGCGAGAAAGAGAGAGAAAGAAGAGAGTCGCGACGAAGAGAAGACGTGCAAAAGAGTGAGAGACGAAGAAAGAGAAGAGAGTGCGGAAAGAGGAGAGAGAAGAGAGAGAGAGAGAGAGGAGAGAGAAAGAGAAGAGAGAGAGAGAGAGAGAGGAGAGAGAGAGATGAGAAAAGAGAGAGAGAGAAGAGAGAGACACAACGTGAATGTGGAGCGCGAGCGAGAGAGAGTGAGAAGAGAGCGCTGAAAGGGAAGAGAAGGCAATAGAGACGAGAGAGAAGAGAGAGAGAGAGAGAGAGAGTGATACAGAGCGAGAGAAGAGAGCGAGGAGAGAGAGAGAGTGTGATCGACCCGAGAAGAAAGAGGGAGAGAAGAGAGCAAAGAGCGAGAGAGCGAAAGAAAAGAAAGGGAGAGAGACCAAACGAGGGAGAAGAGAACGCGGGCGATGGAGGTGCTCTGATCGTTTGTCCAGTGAGTTTAAGCAATCAGAAACACCTGCCCGTCAGGTGAGCA